GGGTCTCGACACGAAACATCAGCTTTCCTGCTCCTCTGATGCTGCTTGGCCTGCTGTGTTCATCCAGCTCTACACCTTGTTATCTCAGGTTCTCCAGCATCCGGCAGTTCCTACTATCTCAGAAATAATAAGATTAGGCAGCACCCTTGGGAAGAGAAGCAGATAACGTTTTGGGTCTTGGCCCCTCATTTGATGAGGGAAGGTCAGTTTCTTACAACACATAGTATTTTCAAATGTGAAGATCTGCCGCAAGTTACTTTAGAAATTATTCATGAGGACTTCTCTCTTTAAATGCAGTGAGGAAGGTGTCTAAACAAGTCAGTTGTCTGTGTTGAGTTAGTCTTAGCTGAATACTAAGTGGTAGCATTACAGTTTGGCTCTTCAGTCCGTTTCTAGTCTATTGAGAGGATAATAGGCATTGAATTTGAGTTTGTGATTGCTTTGAAAGACTCGAATGTCTCCTGATTTCAACTCCAGTATCACTGCAGTGTCAAATAACTTGCTGAAATTTGCTCTCTAGGATGTTCGAATAAGGTTTCTATATAGCTATATGCCAGCTCAGGTCTTTTAGGAGAGAAAATGAAGAATAATATAAGGAGCAACTATTGTGATTGAAATACCCAGGTAATTGATTCCCTTTTTGCTATTCAATTCCCTAATTTTAATCTGGTTTCAAAGTTTTCCTATTAAGCAGACAAACAACTGTGCTTATGAGCATCTTTTTAAGTTAGAAAAGTGTTCAAGGCATTTAAGAATGTGACTTTTCAGTGTCTATCTTTTTCATCAATGAATGAAATAAAAAGGGTGTTGCCCAAAAGCTTGGCCAAAGAGGTGGGTTACAAGTCATTTAACTGAGGTGGAGTTGGGGAAGTAGAAGAGAATGTCAGAACGATCTTGGTGACTGCCCGGTTGTCAAGGGTCAGGAAAACGTTACAGAGGTGTACAGCACGGAAGCAGACCCTTCAGTCCAACTCATCCATGCCGACCAGATGTCTGAAATTAATCTAGTCCCATTTGTAGCATTTAGCCCATATCCCTCTAAACCCTTCTTATTCATATACCCATCCACATTTTTAAAAAATGTTTTAATTGTGCTCCAGATGTACTCCAGCTTCCACCAGTTCCTCCAGCAGCTCATTCCATACATGTACCACCCTCTGCATGAAAAAGTTCCCCCGTACGTTCCTTTTAAATCTTTCCACTCTCAACTGAAACCTATGCCCTCTAGTTTTGGACTTCCCCACCCCAGGGAAAAGACCTGGCCTATTTACCCTATCGATGCCCCTCATGATTTTATAAACTTCTCTAAGGGCACCTCTAAGCCTCTGATGTTCCAGGGAAAACAGCCCCAGCCTATTCAGCCTCTCCCTATAGCTCAAATACTCCAACCTTGATAACATCCTCGTAAATCTTTTCTGAACCCTTTCAAGTTTCACAACATCCTTCCTAAAGCAGGGAAACCAGAACTGCGCACAATATTCCAACAGTGGCCTAACCAATATCCTGTACAACCACAACATGACCACCTCCAGAGGAGGAATTGTTAGCAACATGTAGAGGAGAACAGGGTTTGGTGGCAGGATGTGGATCTGGAAAAAGTTACAGAAATAATGTGGAAAAAGTTTTGTAAATGAGAGGTTTTAGGTTACAGGGCATTATAGGCCAGTGTGAAGGAAGTGATAAAGTCGAAACTGTTGCATGCCAGGATGCAGTAGGGATTTGTTTAAGCTGAAGTTTAGAATTTCTAGGATAGCTATCCATTCTCTGTGTTGCCTCATGAAAGCCCAGTTCATTCAGTGCCTCTACCCTGCATTATACCTGCACCCCTGCATACTCTTCCTTCTCTGATGATAATCCAGTTCCCTTTTTAAATTTAATCTGCTGGTTATGTGTTCCAGATCCTCATCACTTTCCCTCATTGTCAATGTTTTTATTGATAATTACCTTAAGCATGCAACCTCTTGTCCTTAATCTCTCCATCAATAGAAACAGTTTCTTACCATTTAGTCTGTCCAGTTCCCTTATGATTTTGAATGCCTCTTTTAAATCTCTTGATCATGACATGGATGAAGAGTTTTGTGAGAGATGGGCAAATTTATGAAGGTGGGCAATTGTGACAGCATCTGAGTCAGGAGCTCAGCTGAGATAATTCTAGTACTGGGATTTTGAGCAGCCTAGTTCAGCCTGGGTCAATGGCTAGATAGGGATGAAACCTATAAATAACGTATTTTGTGGTTAAAGATGTAACTGGTTGCGAATACTGCATCTGATTCCACAATTTGTTTTTATAGAGGTAAACTATTAAGTATGTAGATCTTGGGTTGATGAATAAAGTGTTTAATTTTTTATTCATTCATGGGATGTGCATGTCATTGCCCGGACCAGCATTTGTTGCCCATCTCTAATGTGTCCTTGACCGTCTTGCTAGGCTATTTCAGAGAGCTTCTAAGAGTCAACCACATTACTGTGTGTCTGGAGTTACACGTAGGTAAGACCAGGAAAGGATAACAGATTTCCTTCCCTGAAGTACATTAATAAATCAGATGCATTTTTATGTCAGCAATTTTACATGAGCTAGCTTTTAATTCCGGATTATTTATTCAGTTCAAACTTCATCTGCCATGGTGCAATTTGAACTCTTGTCCCCCAGAATGTTATCCTGGGTCTTGGGATTAGTAGTTTAGTGTAATTAACAATAAGTGCTCACCTGTAGTGCTATTTCTCAACTAAACACAGCCTGTTAACAAATTTATCATTTATATTTGGAGAGATCAGCTCTACAAGTGTTTTAGTGCAGTAGAGTGTGACATTAAGAGATGCAAATTGACTGCTCTTGTTCTGTCTATAATAATGGTAACCATTCTTCAAAAGTAATGTGTTGGCTGTGAAGCATTAACAACGTTAATAAACTGCCTATTTTTATACTTTTATTTAAATAATTTGATTGAGGGATTGAATTGTTGAATCTTGAAATACATTCTGATCCTGTGTACAAATTTTCCAAACTCTTAGCAACTAAAAACAGATAAATGCAAAGCATTGAAATAATTTTGTATTAGCGCCGTGGGTTGTTGCTTCTGAAAATTCCAGTTCCAACAAATGGCATAGTGCTTGATGTTTTATAGTATGTTGAGGTTATTCTTGCACTCTGCAACTGCTTTGGGCAGATAAGTGTCTTTGACCTTTTTGAAATTAACCATGACACTATGCAATTAAGTTTCTAAACTAATGGGAGGCTTCGAGGTATAAATCTGCACATAGTCAGAGCATAGAAGTTGCGAATATATATGTTCACAAAGTAAAAATTTAAAATTGTTTTCAAACATGCTGAAGGCTGTTACCATCCATAATCCATATTTAGTATCATTGTACAAACAATCAGTCTGACTGTTAATGACAGCTTTGGAGTGTAAAATCCTGATGCTTAGAATATGTGATAACCCTTGACACTTAGAAAAACCACAAAAATTTCAGAAATGAAGTTTTTCATGAACTTGGACTAATTGTAGGCAAGCGCCTCTTTAAAAAGGTTGTAGGCTTAGGAAAAAGCCACTGTCAATGAGAAGGCCAGTAACAACACACATGCCCCTATTCACTTTGGATTTTCAGATCCTTTTTCCCACCATCTCAATTTGGTTTCTGTGGAAGTCATTTGTACTGCCTACTTTAAGGGCTTTCCCTGACTATTGCATTATTGCCATTCACTGAAAGCATTGAGCTGAATAGCTGTTAGTTGTGATTTACTGATTTTAAAACTATTATCTCCTGGTGTTTGAGCCGCTTTGCCATATTGGCTTATAAATTGGATTATTTGCTGGGTCAATTTTGCCAATTTCTTTCTTAATCTTGAAAACCCTAATTACATCATTTTAAAGTCAATTTTCACTGGAAGTTGAGCTTTTGAGTTCCCTCGTGGTCTAGTGGTTAGAATTTGGCGCTTTCACCGCCGCAGTATGGGTTTGATTCCCGGTCAGGGAACAGATGTTCTGGTGTAATAATTTAGGGGCGGCACGGTGGCTCAGTGGTTAGCACTGCTGCCTCACAGCGCCAGGGACCTGGGTTCAGTTCCACCCTCAGGCAACTGTCTGTGTGGAGTTTGCACATTCTCCCGTGTCTGCATGGGTTTCCTCCGGGTGCTCCGGTTTCCTCCCACAGTCCAAAGATGTGTAGGCTAGTGGATTGGCCATGCTCAATTGCCCGTAGCGCTCAGGGATATGTCTGGGTGGGATGCTCTGAGGGTTGGGGTGGACTTGTTGGGCCGAAGGGCCTGTTTCCGCACTGTAGGGATTCTGTGATCTATGATCTGATCTTAATGTCTTTAACTTCTGCCTTAGCTTTAATTCTGGCATTTTAAAATCTGGAGTAGCTGTTGTTCATCTCTATACCTTCTCCAGTAATAACATTATCCTTACAATGACCAAAAGTATGTCTTATACTCCCAGTGTTAGATTAATGTGGAGCAATAGCTCACTTTCTCCAGATTTGTATTCTTCCCGCTGAATCTTGCCTTACTTACCTTAATTCTGTCATTATTGCACTACTATTGTTTTTAAAGTAGCAATAAATTACTCTGAATATCTAGAGAAGCTGTAATATTGCAACTCATTGTAAGCTTGCTGAGCATTTTGTACCATAGTTTAGCTTAATGCATATTTTATTAATTCTTTTGGTAATAATTTTACAATTATCCACATTGACTTGCGTGTACCAGCTGCTGGCAGAGTTGCCATGATATTACAAGGTATAATGCTCCATGTTGTATTTGGTATTTGAAAACATTGGCTGCTGGTTTACCCTAAATGAAAATTTTGGTGATTTTGTTTCCACTGTTTAGTCATGTATAGTAAATAACGATAAGGATTTAGGCTAGTTTTATTAATAATACAGCCTTAAATCAGTTTTTGATTTTATTTTCCAGGTACTTTTAAGTTTTATACGTCATTCATGAGCTGCCTTTGCTTTAGCAGCTATGGATGACAAAGCTTCAGTTGGAAAAGTTAGTGTTTCTTCAGACTCGGTATCCACTCTAAACAGTGAGGATTTTGTCCTGGTTTCCCGCCATGGTGATGACACGCCTTCTACCAATAATGGTAGTGATGATGAGAAAACAGGACTTAAGGTAAGAAGGAGTCAGTGTTTCAAACTTTTAAAAACTAGGATATTCATTGGGAAGCAGTGTGCTATACACAAGATGATGATCTTGTGGCGCACTGGTCACAAGTGTGTTATATTTGCCATTGTTCCTCTTGTATTTGACTTTATACCACAGGGAAAAAACTATAATTAAAGTTGTTTTGTTGAAGGAATACTTTGGGTGAAGTGAGCAAATAGATGTTTCTGAAGACTTTAATTCAATCTGAGGTAAATTGTCCTAAGCGGAAACAATATTTGTAAGATCTTCAACTTACTGAACCACTTGCAGTCACCAGCAGAAGAGTAGAACAGATTCAAATCTCAGTGTCTTGGGCTTGTGTCTTTTAAAGAGTGCAGGGTCATGTAGGTTGCTTACTGTACCTGGTAATGCTTTCGTATCATGAGAAATTTGGAAGGGAGCATTCCACTGAGTGGGGGATATGCCATGTAGAAAATCCTTAATACTTCCTTGTCTACAGTGTAGAATGAAAATTAACTTGAATATTCATTCTCTTGATTGTCAGATACCTTGTAATTTAAAAAGTTAAAGGAGGAAGAAAGTGCAGGCTGAGTGCTTTCCTGTTTTAAACCTAATGGATGAAATATGGCATTTTGCTATACTTTAGAAGCTCCAGGAATAATACCAGTCCAGTAGCTTACAATTTTCTTGCATTGAATTAACTATTTTCAGTATTGATGATCAATAACAGTGGAATAATGTGTATTTTCATCAACCTGGGAAAAAGCAGTGAAATAAATCGATGTGCAACAACTTGCATTATAGTGCTTGTGGTATAAATGTATAAGAATCCTACAGCTTCATTATCTCCTTTTCTCTTCCCTGTGCGACCCCCCAAATCACCCTGTGCCCCCTTCTTTTCTTTCTCTTCTTTCATCCCCTTTTTTTTGTTTACCTTCTAGAATTTGGAGCATGTTTCAAAATTTATTCTTCAGTTGCACTGAATGTATAGGAATGCTGTGGACATTCTAAACTGGATCTTTTCATTCAGCAGTAACTTATTTTTGTTTAAAAATAGTCAAATTCTCATCCTGACAATAATTGAAACTGATCAACCAAAGCTGCTTTTTGTGTACAGGATCTGGTGGTTATTCAAATTCTTCGTGTTATATATTTCCAGTAGAGTTAATAGGTTCAGTTAATCAATTATCAACTTGTGAAAAGTATTACGTGTTTCTGCACATTGAATATTTTGTTACTGTATTGGTATTTGTAGTAGTACTGTGATTTGTCTCTGAAATGTAGTTGGTTGGGTACATACAATGTTAATTTGCTGATAACTTGCATTTACTATGAGTAGTGGATGTTTTACTGATACTGCACAAGCTACAAACATCTATGCTATGTGATTAGAAGAGTAAATCTAGTTGTTGCAATATAGAATAAAAACCAAAAGAACTGGATGGTGAAAATTAGGAACAAAAACAAATTTCCGGAAAAGATCAGCAGGCTTGGCAGCATCTGTGGAGAGAAAAAGACAAGGTGAAACTTGAGATGTGTGGCAGAATTGGGGAGATGGTCATTTTGACATCAAGATCACCTTGTTGCAACATTCCTGCTTTGCTCAAGTGACGTGGCAGGCCACTGACTGCAGCTGGAAGGCAGAAGGTATTGCAGCCAGTAGTGAGTCGGTGCCCAATGTTGCACACCAACCACCCTGCAAATTTCAGTGCTACTACAAGTGGTACTTAAATATTGATGGTACGTGGATGTCTCTGTATCCTCTCAGGATTCTCCTCGGCATCTTCAGCCCGGAAGAGTATCCTCTCCTTGGGGTAGTAAGGACTCTGACATTCAGATCCCTCCTCGCCTTTCTGTAATGACTTAAATGGGGAAAATGGGTTAGACACATGAGGATGGCACGGCAGTTGATTGTGCATGTGGGTGAAAGGTGTTGAGACGTTCTGAGGGAGTGAGTGAGGCTGCCGAGTGGTTGCAATATGTAGTGTGGGAAGATGGGAGTAAGGGGACTGAATGAGGAGTGATGTTGCGTGGAACAGATTGGGTGTCAGAGCAGAAATGTTGGTAAGAGGTAAGTGCAGTTATAGAGAGACAATGAGTGTGAAGTAGCAGAAATAATCCTCTATAATCAAGCATAGGGTAACTGACATCATTAAATTTTGAGTTGATCATGGAGAGTCAGCAGGGATTCTTGAAGGATAGGTCAAGCCTGACAAACTTCACTTTTTTGAAGCAGTGACAAAGATGGTGGACAGAAGTAAGTCAATAGATGTTGTTTAAGTGGACTTCCAGAAGGCTTTTGATGAAGTCCCACACGAGACTGTTAGCGAAGGTGGAAGCTCACGGAATTGAGGGAAAATTTTGATATGGATAGGAAATTGGTTGAGTGGCAGGAAAAAGATTTGAAATAATGGGAAAGTATTCAAATTGGCAGGACTTGATTAGAAGTGTCCCTCAGGGATCTCTGGGGCCTCAGTTATTCACAATATTCGTTAATGACTTAATTAACGGCATAAAAATTCAAATATCCAAAATTGGGCAGAAATGTAGTCCCTATTCACAACAGTATAAAATTACAATAGGCTATTTATTAGGTGAATGGGCAAAGCTATGGCAGATGGATTTTAATATAATTGTGATTTGACTGAGAAAGGATAGATCAGGATTTTATTTACTAGAAGGCACAAAATTAAATACAGTGGATGCCTAACAAAATTTGGGGGTTCAGGTGCATAGCTCTTTGAATTGCCATGAGCAAGTGCAGAAAATAATCAAGAAGGCTAATGGAATGCTGACCTTCATATCTAAAAGATGACTAAAGTACAGGGATGCAGGTGTTGTGCTGCATTTATACAAAACCCTAGTTAGACCCCTTGTACAGTACTGGGAGCAGATCTGGACATCACAACTTAGGAAGGATGTTTGGCCCTGGAGAGATTTCAGTGCAGGTTTACAAGGATGATAGCTAGACTTCAGGGTTAAGTTATGAAGGGAGATTTGACAAATCAGGCCTTTATTGTCTAGCGTTTACAAGGTTAAAGGGTGATCTAATCAAGGTTATCAGGATATTAACGAGGAAAGTCAGGGTAGAGGAAAGTCAGGGTAGATAAAATCAAATATTTCCATTGGGTGAGGATTCTAGAACTGGCACATAGTCTCAGAATTAGGGCCAGGCCATTCAGGGGAGATGTTGGAAACCACTTCTATATGCAAAGAGTAGTGAAGATTTTGGACTCTGTTTCTCAAACAGCGGTCAATGCTAATTTAATTGTAAATTTAAATCTGAGAGAGACAAATTTTTATTAAGCAATGGTATCAAGTGATATGGGTCCAGGGCAGGCATTTCGTGTTAGGCCACAAATCAGCCATGATCTAGTTGAATGTTGGAGCAGGCTCAAGGGGCTGAATGGCTTACTGCTGTTCCTATGTAGATAATATGTCACTTGTGGCATGGAGAAGGTAATTGACTTTTTTTTCTCACTGCTGTATGGTCCTCTGAACCTTGAACAGAGCATTGGACCTGGCTGGTGATGTCTGAATATCTGGGTGTGTGTGCCAGCGTTGCCTCCTCTGTCTGTTCACTGACCCATCCTGTACGCTCCTGACCGCGAACCCATCAATCAGGATCTCCAGGTCCCTGCCAGAGAGCCTCGGTGCCAATTTGCCCTAAACAGCCACCTCTGTCCAGACACCAGTCAGGAGCAGGGTAAATGCCAGTAGTCCTCCAGGTGCACTGTGGGCTCTTAAATGGTGCAGCCACAAAGGAGACTTTTTTTTTGGCAAGTGACGATGAGCAGCAAGTTCTTCTAGGAACGGCAGGTGGTAAGATGGAGATGGAGATAGATTACGATATTTGCCATTGGGTCAGCAACAGCAGTTGTTAAAGCAGCAAGCATGGTAAGGTACGGTGAGAAAATATGCCTGGCTTCATGCCAAATTTCACTCTGCCAAACTCAATATGACAGACACGTAGCCAATAAAACATTAGATTCCACCCAGCATTAATGTTTTAAAACCAGTATAACTTTTCTATATAACTGACGAGAGGTAGAACTGTGATGGGACTTTTTTCTTTTAAAAAGCATTGTTCAGATGAAACAAACAGAAAGTTCAGGGCGAGAGTGGGAAACATTACATAACAAATATATCATGGAACAAAAGGCAAAGGGACTGGTGATAGTTATAATGAAGTAACAAAGCATTTGTCTAGAGTAAGTGGAAGCTTTATGCCTTCTGCTTGTTCTGAAGTTTCAAGCAATAGATCAACATGCAAGGGTGAATGTCCTGATCATGATTCCTTATAATTCAGGGATTACCAATGATGATTATTAAGATTAGATACATCAAAACAATAATAGTGCTTTCTGTAATGTAGATTTCAAGATAAGAAAAGGAGTGCTGCAAGTTCTTGTAGCCTTTGGTACCTCCAGTAAGGTAGAAAATGATATATGCTGATAGTTGAAACTGCACATAAACCATGGAAGATTAGTTTTACAAGGCTTGGAATCATGAGCTCCAACTGACAATGCAGGGAATGAGAGTTTGAATCTCACCATGACAGTTGAGAATTTGAATTAACTTTTAAAAAAAGAGAGTTTTAGTTTGAAAGCAGTACTCAATAGGGATGAACTTATTGGATTGTTGTAAAACATAACCAGTTCGTTAATTTCATTTTATGTGGAAAGAAATCTGATGTTCTTAAATGATTTAACCTTTATGTGACTCCAGTCGCATGTTTGTGATTGACTTCTGATTGGCTTGCTCAGCCACTTCAAATTGCATTCAGAGCACTGCAATGTTATGGCAACACCTTCACACAGACAACAGAGTTGTGAGAAGATGATGCATGACGTTGCAGTATAACCAGGGATGGTCAAAAAGTGAAGTTGCTGGAAAAGGTCAGCAGGTCTGGCAGCATCTGTGAAGAAAAGGTCAGAGTTAACATTTTGGGTCCAGTGACCCTTCCTCAGAACTGATGGGAGCTGGGAAAACGTCAGTTTATGTGC